AATTATTTATATGTATCTTTGTATATTAGAAAAGGGATATTTACATAAATAGCATGTCAAATTCTTTAATTATTTTAGTTTTTCTAGCCAATATACATAGATTATACAATTATTACATATGACTATATATGATTTTGTACATATATTATACAGCGCTTAGGTAGAAGGCTATTTAAGTTAATTATTCCTTAGAAAACTAGGGGTTTATTTGCGTCTACAAAATAATTACATTGTGAATTGACACTGGCGCAATTTAGATGGGTTTTAGGAGTGTAAAGTTCATCAGCAGGCCGTATTGGAAAAATTATAGTCCACGAGTATAATAGCAACATCACAATAGTGTTATGAATTTGCAAAATGCGGATAGTTTAGGGTTTTCTTATGAATTAACCCTTTAATGTATGATTGAGTTTTATTTTTCTCGATATTTCTTGAAACTTCGATGCAACAATTTCTGATTGGTGAAAATTAGGTTCCAACACTTTATAAATATCTACACTTGCTTTTTTATTATAATTATGGATGCATGTATTCAAAATATTGTTTTTCTTTCGACGTTTCTACTAATAAGATTTAAAAAGGTAAATTAAGTTTAAAAATAATTAGGTGGAAATAAGTATAAATAAAATTACTTAACTAACTACTTAATTTAGCTGCTAATTTATATTTCCCGCCAACTTCACGAGAAACCCTAAACCTAATTCTAGTTTCCAAAGGCTTTCAGCTCATTATCATCGCTCAAGTGTTATCCAAAAACTAGAAGGATTATATTTTATAAATCCTCTATATAATCTCATCATATAACTCATTAGCTGCATCTAATTTTTCGTTTTCGTCCTTTATTCTCATAGTCACATTCAACTCTCTATTTTTGTTATCTTTCGCCTATTATATACGTGAAAATAAGTACAGATAGAATGTTACCAGAAGCTAAGCTTCCGACGGGTTTTCGATTTCACCCTACTGATGTTGAGTTGATAAACTCTCTGGAACGTTACGTGCATAGGGGAATTTTACCACCTGATGGTGATATTGAAGTAGCAAAAATCGGCCACGGCAAATTTTTGGAGATTCAAATTCAAAGGAGAAAACACCGATTCAAGAATTCAACTAAGAAATTTTCAAGGACAGTGGGGAGAGGAACTTGGAAAGACCAATCAGGTGGTGCACCTATTAAACATGGATCGAAGAATATTATTGTTGGCTTTAGGAGAAGTTTGAAATATAAAAGTAATATAGTAAAGGAGCAGAATGATAAGTGGTTGATGCAAGAATATATTTTGGCGGAGGATTATTTTAAGGAAAGCAATGAAGATATAATCGTCCTTTGCAAAATCAAAAACAAAAAAATGAATGAGAAAAAAGTGGATGGTAACGAGATCATGGAGGAAGAAGTTGACGAACTAGTCACTTCTTTATCAGGTAGTAATGAGGAAAAAAACTTCGAATCGGGAGGGCGGTTCTTCCGGTGCACTGACCATACCCATAACCGACACAGGTGAACAAGTAGAGTATATTGAGGCATTTGAGAGAAATCATCATCAAGTTACCAACAACGACATGAACCAATTAGTCCTAGTAAACGACGTTTATGATGTGATGCAGACAAATAAAGCAAATACAACTCTGATCACAGGCACTTCCGAAAATCAAGAATTTGAAGCTTATGGACAAAGACAAGCTAACTATTTGGCTGCTGGGGTTGAGCAAGATATTTATTATCAATATGCGGATTATAGCAACGATTGGTTCCTATCAATGATTAATTTCGAAGAATTACGAGAACAAGATTTAGGGATGCAAATAGATAAACCAATAAAGTGATCATATTAGCTTGAATATAAAAGCTTTTCTTTTACAAGTGAAAATTAATGCTCTCATTGTTCCACTTTTATGACATTATTTTTTTAGGATTTAAATATAGTTTTTCTTTGATTATAACTTTTTGCTACATTGTTTAAATGTTTATAAAGATATGTAAATTGCAGTTTGTAGTGGTACTTTTTCTTGTTTTCTAAGTATTGCAGTGTGTTTAATTTTCACGTGAACTTTGACCTTCTGTAATACGTATGCTTCTACTCTTTTTTCTCTTGATATGTACGACCGGTTTGAATTTGTTTCTGCAAACTCAACAGGTAAAATAGTATAGATCTATTTACTCCATATGAAAATTTAAGATTTCATGTCAACTTTTTTTGTTTTATATTATACTCGTTCTTTATCTTCACTCAGAGGTGGTCATCTAAGTTCTGAACTATATGTTCGAGTTTAGGGTTCTACCACCACTTATTTATTTTATTGGGTTCGAGATAAATTATATGTATGTATTCAACAAATTTTTAATGCATAACAAGGTCCGAGCAAGCTATTGGATTCGAATGAACCCATAATCTATCCTCCATATCCGCCCATGTCGGCGCTATAAATAACGATATCCAAATTTCCCAATTGCGAGAATATTTTTTTCTAGAGGAGGATGATGGTCGAAATACTAGCTAGTAATACATTTTCTTTTTTATTTCTTCTTTGATGGCCACCTTATTTTAGTTTTTATTTGTGTTCATCATAGACTTATATTTGATAGGGCAATACAAACTAAACAACGGCCAATACTTTGTGATGGTAAAGTAAAGGATAACACGCCTACGGAAAATCAGAAAATACTTCAAAAGTATGTGTCATAAATTAGTATTGTTCCTGTATTGAACTATCTGTTAGCATTGTATATTTTTGGTGTTATTTTAAAACTGTTTATTAGATAAAAAAAATGCTCTAGTGACATTGAAATTTACGTGACTCAAGTTCCCAAAATGTAGTAGTTTTTTTATAACCCCCAAACTTTATTTCACCGCACGTAGAATTTGATGTAATAGGGGTTGAATCTCTTCGTTCAGTTTCAACTATTGTACTTTGTTAATTTCCTGTTTTTAATAAAAGCCTTCGCTCTAGCCAAAAAATTGAGATTTACGCGTATCTTCCTAAAATTAAAGTACAAATTGACTGAATCGAATTGATTAAAAAAAAAAACCAAGACCACTGAGATTGTTCAAAAATGTCTAACCTTGGTTATATGTAATAGATGGAAAATTAGTATAGACCAGTGGGATAGTTATCGGAAAAAAAATTAGGTAACTTCTTTTCATTTGCTTAATCTTGGGTGAGTAGAATTACTCGTTATTGTTGAAGATAATGACGAGGCTAACAAACCTGATAACTATGCAATCACTTAGTCCTAGTTTAGAAGAATTAGGACTCTTTGTATTAGCTATCCTAGAAGAGTCCTACTCTATGTAGTATAGCCAAAATATATATAGGATAAAAATACTGTATAAATACATAGGACTCATGTAATTGATGACCGATCAATACACTGCCTTGTTGACATTGTCTTTGCACCATAATTTCTCATGGTATCAGAGCTTCTTTGAAGCCAATCCCGCTGCCAAAAAAAATCAAGTTCTTACTACACAGTATCAACTCTGTCCATATGGTTTCTAACACCTTTTCAATAGCATCTCTTCATCATCTCATTACCTCATGCCCTGTGAAGTTGAAGCCCTCTAACTATCTGATATGGAGAACACAAATGATGCAACTTATACAAGTAATGAGGTTGAACTATCTCATTGAAGGAAAACTAGAAATTATAAACATAGAAGGCACCAGTGAAAGCAGCGATAAAGATAGTGGCAAGGGAGTTGACAAAGATTAATACTGCTGATGACTGGGCTGAAAAGGATGTGTTATTAAGGAGTTGGATATCTGGGACAATGTCAGAAGAGATCATGTATCTCATTGTGGGATGTACGACTGCCAAAACAGATGTGGGAATGCCTGGAAGAAACCTATCTGCAGGCAACAAAGGACAAGGAATTCCAGTTGAAACATCAACTTCAATCCATCAAGCTTGGCAGTAGAACCATCGATGAGTATCTGAAGGAATTCAAAGGCATTTATGATGGCTTGACTGCCTTACACAAGCCTGTAGATGATGATAGCAAGGTAATCAACTTTGCTAGAGGTTTAGGTCCTAAATACAACACCTTTAGGCAGTGATGCTTGGCAAAACATCTTACCCAACTCTAAGCCAGTTGGTTACTTCTCTAAGAGGCTTTGGTATGAGAGAGGATGAAGGAGATGAGTCACAACAAGTGAATTACAATATGGCATTTGCAGCACAAAGGACATACAACAACAGAGGTAGTGGAAGAAGAGGTAACATGAACTACAGTTCAAGAGGTAGAGGCTTCAGGCCTGCCGAATAGAACAACAATCAAAATACTCAAGGATATGGAAATGTTGTTAAGGGACAGGAAGCCACAAGATCATCCGCTTGTCAGATATGTGGTAGGAAAAATCACACTACAATAAAGTGCTTCTACAGATGGGAATTCTCCTATCAAGCACCAGAAGATTTGCCATAGGCTCTTGCTACACTCAATGTAAACAGTCAGAATGGTGGAGATAATGCTCACTATATGGATTCTGGAGCAAGCATTCACATGACCAACAATTCAGGTAACTTATCCAATCTTAAACCTTACAATGGAAATGATGAAATTGTAGTAGGAAATGTACAAGAACTGGATATCACACATGTTGGAAAAGGAACAATTTCTGGTTTAAGGATGAGTGAAGTGCTAGTAGTTCCTAAGCTCCAAAAGAATCTATTATTTGTAAGCAAGATTACTAGAGATAATTGGTGTTCTATTGAGTTTGATGAATCATCTTTTGTTTTAAAGTACAAGAGGACAGGGAAACTGATGGCCAAGGGAGCTAAAAGAGGAGAGATATATGCCTTGAAGGTGGACAACCTGCTTGCTTTGAGTGCAACACAGACAAGGAGAAGCTCTAGTGATATTTGGCATGCCAGACTTGGGTATCCAAATTCTAGGTCCTTTGAAGTACTTAGTAACAATAAGTCTATCAATGTCACATGTTGGAATAAAACTCCTATCGTTTGTGTTAGTTGTCAAATGGGAAAAGGTTGTAAACTACCATTCAAATTGAGAAATAAAGTTGAAAATGAACCTCTATTGAAAATTCACTGTGATTTATGGGGTCCTGCTCTTGTTGTATCTTCCCAACATATGAAATACTTTGCTTTATATGTTGATGATCATATTAGATATACTTAGTTGTATCCTTTAAAAAGAAAATCTGATTTCTTTGAAACATTTGTCAAATTCCACAGAATGGTTGAGAAATAGTATTCAAAGAGAACCAAGATCTTTCAATATGATGGTGGAGGTGAATTTTCAAGTTCTGAATTTGTTAAGTACTTAGAAGATTGTGGCACTGTAAGACATATTTCTTGTCCTCACACCCCTGAGAAAAATGGCATTGCAGAAAGGAAACATAGACATGTAGTGGAAACTGGATTGACACTACTACTACTACATGCTAGGTTACCCTTACATTTATGGACTGAAGCATTTCTCACAGCAGTATTCCTGATAAATAGATTGCCATCATGTGTGCTTAAAAAGGAAACTCCGTTTCATAAATTGCATGGTTCACACCCTGATTGCAATAGTTTGAAAGTGTTTGGGTACAGGTGTTTCCCTTACTTAAAGGAAAAATACAAGTTCTCACCTAAGTCCTATCCATGTATGTTCATTGGTTACAACAGTCTGTATAAAGGCTATAGGTGCTATCATCCTACCACAAGGAAGGTCTTTGTGTCAAGACATGTCATCTTTGATGAACTAACTCTTCCCTGTGTGCAGGAAAACAAGACTGACAGTGCACCAAATGACTCTAGTCATATGGCCACCTTCTTTGAATTTTTCTCAGAATCACAGGCTAAGTCTGGTTCATCAGACTCTACTGCAGCTGCTGCAGGGGAAGTGTTAGGAGCTGATCATGATGATGTTGCAGCTAATGTTTCAAATGATCAAAGTGTTGTGTTGAGAGCTGATCATGATGCTGTAACCGATGTTTCAAATGATCAGGATGATGGTGTTACTGCTCAAATAGCTGCTCCAACTGCTGATCACAGTGATGCTCTTGAATTTGATCAGGATGAGGTTGTGGAGGTCACAAACAGTGTTGCTGAGCCCTCTGCAGATATGCAAAACTAAGATACTGATGAATTGCTGTCAGAGGCTTCTCACTCAAATGAAACACCTATGCAGTTCACAGTGACAGATCCAAGAGGATTGCAGCTAGAAGTGGACTTGTCACACTTCTTCAATGACCAGGTTGAAGCACCTCTAGCAGAAGCAGAAAACATAGTTCATGCCGAACCTGAGATCACTGATCAAGGCCATAAAATGGTCACTAGATCCAAAGCTAAGTCTCTTCCTATAACTCATACCTCACTAGCTGTTGTACAAACAAAACCGGAAGAACCTAAAACTATAAAAGAAGCTCTTAGTTTCCCTCACTGGTTTAAAGTTATGCAAGAAGAATTAGCAGCTTTACATCAAAATGAAACTTGGATACTAGTTCCCAAACATCAACAACGAATGTAGTAGGATCTAAGTGGGTGTTTAAACCAAAAATGAAGCCAGATGGACCAATAGAAAGACACAAAGCAAGGCTAGTTGCTAAGGGGTACTCACAACTTGAAGGGATTGACTTTGAAGAAACCTTCAGCCTAGTAGTGAAAGCTACATCTATAAGAGTTAGTCTCTCTGTTGCTGCACTTTACATTGGCCCATTAGGCAACCAGATGTTAAGAATGCCTTTCTACATGGTCATCTACAAGAAGAAGTCTATATGACTCAACCATCGGGCTTCACTGATCCAATGTATCCTGATCATGTCTGTCTCTTGAAAAAGGCACTATATGGTCTCAAACAAGTTCCCAGAGCTTAGTT